GTCGGGCTCACCCCCCAGCCCTGACCCTTTCCTGCCCAGCCACTGTCTTTCCCTCCCACCTGGCTCACTCTGCAACTTCTTCCCCTGCTTCTCTTCTCTTTGAGCTGCTCTATCTCCTTTCTTAGCAGAAGGCATAGTGCCAGGATTTACAGCTCTCTTCTCCTGCCTTTCCTGCTATCTAAAGTTGAAATTTCTGGCTCACTGAACAGTCTCCTTCATAGTCTACAAAGAATTCACAAGCAGCACAGTTTAGGAATCATCATACCAAGAGATTAGATTAAGTGGTTAACAAGTTTCTGCATGTCAACGTGTGACTCCATGCATATGCCCACTTTTTAATGTGGAAGAATTTCACCTCTATAGAGGTGTGCACTTCTTCCTTTCAGAAGAAATCAAAATGCCTCATGTTTTTGATGTCCTAAACTTCACCCAGACAGCTAAGAAGATAGTTTGTCAAGCTAAATAACTTGATAACATGCCCGATCCTTATACAGCTTTGCAGTAAGCTCCGTGGCTAGCCAAAGTTCATAATGTTTGTAAAACTCCTGTATCTTGACTTCAAATCAGAGAACATGGCAAAAGATACTTAATGGAACATACTGTAATTTCTCCATGATAAGACATGGCAAAGACAAAAAGGCATTATTCTGGGCTTGGAATTGTTCTCCCTTCTTTTCTCCAGGCTACAGGGAAATACACTCTAAAGGGATTTGAGTGCTGTACCAAGAGGGGATCATGTCTGTGCTACAGGCAGTCAGAAAGAGAAGGACAGGAAAGAAACTTGCATGGGTTGAAATAAGTTTCAAGGCAAGCTTTTGTTTACTTCTGTCAGTTTCCCTGGTCTCCTCTCCACCTTCAGCCATTCAGTCTCAATTGGTATTGGATGCCAGCAAGATCCATTAACAAGCAGCTTTGGTATTTCTGGGTACTCAATATGCTGAACAATCTAGCTCTCTGTGGTTTTTAATGCTCCTTTCTGAACCCTGATGGATGCTCCATACTGCTGCTCAGTTGACTCGCTTCTCTTATGCATAATTCAGTATAGGCATGTATGCCCTTAAATAGCCTCTCCTTCATTTCAGACTGATGGGCTTTCCTGAAGCCAAGTTACAAAAACAGCAAAGCTCCTCTAGGTTCTGCAAAGTTTCCACATCAGTCTGGCTGGAGTTAGCACTTGCTAAATACTAAAGAAGTGTCCAGGAGCAGGACGCTTCCAACATGTCCTTGCTGCACTGCTAAATCCTGCTCACTACAGTAGGAGACAGGGTGAAATGCGGAGCTGCTGCTGAGGGGCTGTCCTGGTTATCAGAGATATCTCAGCCACCCTGGGATTCATAACCTACCTGCATCTCTGTCTCCTCCCCCCAATACTTCTGTCGTTTCTAATATCACCTCGTTTGCAAGTGTGCTTCTCAGGCAGGAAACAAAATAGCTGAGGACCAACAACAGCAGCATTTTCCAGAAATGCCATGACGGATGTTACCCTTCCCAGACCTCATGCTCTGCCATGAAGGGAGATGCAGTAACTCACTGCATTGTGCCTGCTGCACACACAAAGTTACCATCCATGCTGTGAATCTCTGTAGAGTTCATGCTTTGAGCATAAGCCAAGAATGCAGTTCAGGGGCCTTCCTTTATTCTGCTGAACAGACCACCAACCTTGGTGTGAATCTGAAATCTGGCACTGCTTTTAGAAATGCAACCGCAGGAGGGAGCAGGAGAGGTATATTTCTCTGCCTGTTGCCCTATTTCCATTATCCTTTTGTAACACATTAACTCCTTTGCAAACCCTGTGCTTACCTTCATAAGTAGGAAGGAAGCTTACCTGGATCAAAGAAGATGATGGCTTTAAGGCAAGCATACTCATTGTCGTCTATCTGGATGTCTCGCAAGGGCTTTACCAATTCATCCAAGATTCTGGTGGCCACGCGAGCAATTTCCAGTTCTGGGCAGTGCATTGGGATGATGAAGTCGTTCCCTGGGAGAGGAGAGGAACTCAGCATCAGACATTTGCTTTCGCTCTGCGGACATGTGAATTAGCCAGTCAGAAGTTACCCTGGGGCATGTATTCAATAGTCACCATGCCCACGTGCTGCAGATTTCCAGCATGCAGTTTCATACTCAAATTCGGGATTGACAAGCAAGTATCTAATTAGATTCTTAGATCTAGTCTACACATGCTAGTGCAACCACACCATACACAAATCCCGGTCCACGTTCTGTACTAATTTCCTCTCTGCTATATCTAGCACCTATTTGCAAGTGTTTTTTACTGTTGTCTAGTTTTCAGAGCATGTGTTGGGGGTGTTTCTTTGACAAAGTTCTCCCTCCCTCTTTTGTTTGAAAAGTAGCTGTCAAGGTCAGTATTTCTTCTTGTTTTTTCCAAGAATAATCATGCCTGTGGTTTTGGTGGCAGAGGGCTACATGAAAAGAAAATACCTATTTGCGCTATAATTTTTAATAGACCAGTCTGCTAATTTTTTAAGCACCAATATCCAAATTCTCTGTTGCCTGTATCCAGGCAATTTCAGTTACAAAAACAAGGCTACACAGTTTGAGATCCCATTCAAATATTGGGGTTTTTTTAGTCCAGAATTTCAAATCAGAAAGGGAACAGTTTTAAAGGTCACAGTGAATTTGCCTGTTTCTTTTCATCTTCTCCAGAGACCTACCCAAGCACTTAGTTTTGAGTCAGATGTGCAGACTGTGTCCATGTTATCCGTGACAACAGCATGGCCTTCTCTGAAGGCAAATCTGGCAATGATTAAATCACATTCAGGAGAGGACCAGTGAACTGTTCCTTGGCAGGGTGAATACAGAGGGGATTTAAGGTAGACAGGATACTTGGCAATGACTTGTGCGTGCAAATTTTAAAGCAGGAGTGAATTTCACTACTTTACCTAATAACAGAAAATCAGTGTATGGTATCGACCGCTTAGCTACCCCAAGGAGCAGGTGTTCCCCTGCATGAGCTCTGAGTAAGGCAACCTGGAGATGGCACAGAAGAAAGAAAAGATATTACATTTTAAAACTAGCGAACAGAACAGTGAGCTGTTTCTGTTTAGATTAAGCCAAAGTCAGCTTGTGTTTATGTATGTCAGATCTGCAGATAAAGTACTATTAAGAGCTAGAAATTATTAGTATGTCTTGACTTCACTTTTCAGAAGTGCTGTATTCATGACAAAGGAAACAAGAAGTTGTTTTCAGCTGAAAGAGCAAGGAGGACTGGGCTGCTTTAGTTCTCAGGAAATAAATGGCTTTTGTATTCAACACTCAGGCATCGATAGGGGGGAAAACCAGTCCTTTTTTGACTTGGGTCCTGAAGTGATCAACCCCATTTTTTTGGACATCAGCTGGTGGAATCATGCTTAATCGACTCCCTCAATTAAGGGAATGATTATTCTTCCTCTCCTGCTAGGAGCTGTTGCTAGGGGCATAAGGTGATCTATGTATTAGCGTCAGACTGCCCTGTTAAAGGCACAGCTGGGAATTTGTGTCGGGGTGGTGGGTTTGAGGGGGAGGCACTGGCGTTTTACCTGGTCATCGAGCGGAAGCTCACAGAATGCTGGGATGTATTTTGCCCATTCCACCAAGACCAGAAGCTGCTGTTTCATAGACTCGCACACATCGTTGATCGTCGCAACCTTCTTCATTGCAATATCTGCACTATGCACAGGACTCAGTGATGAATACTGGAAGAAAAACGAGCAGGTAGCCTTCAGGCCAGATCCCTGGTGTTGTGTTATCCAGAACATCTCATCAAACATGTCTAAACTTATTCTCCCTCAGTTGCAACAGTTTGTTAATGACATGCCTGACGCTCCTTCAAAGGTATTAATCGTATCAGGTCACTGTCACGATGTTTGGGGTTGCTGTTGCACAGTTATTTGCTCAGTGGTGCGTGTTATCCGATGGACAGTCTAGCTGCGAAAGTGTCCACGAGGTGGTGCTCCGTCCCAACAGACTCCCCTCCATCCTCTCCTCCTTCCCCAGCTCACATGGCTGGGCGAGGAGGCGGTTTTGTTCCTGTTGCCTTTCCTAGCAGTAGATAGCAGCACTGGGTCTTAGCTTCTTGGCAATAACTTAAATCAGCAAAATGCATGGCATGCATTCATCCTTTCTCCCCCATAGCTGTCTGGGATGCAAAACACACGTTTCGATCTCTAAAGAGCTGTGCGTAGGGGAGGGGGTTAAAAAGTAGTAAATTTTTGAAAAACAAGTGGAAAGATTGTTGTA